AGACGATACCGACGGCAGTGGCCGTGCGGTTAGAGTGCTGGACTAGCATGCCAAGGATCCGGGTTCGATCCCGGGCACCGGCGGTCAAAAATATTATAGCGCTCTGATCTCACGGTTTCACTGCCGAGCGGTAGTCCTGTCAAAAGGACGACTGTGCCAGGGCAGGTTTTTCCCTCAGATGAGGTTTTCCCTCCCTTTCAGCAAATGCGGTACAGGGGGTTGGGGGGTGGTAAGGGAACAAATCGTAAAAACCCGAAAGGGTATACGAGTGAAAGAAAAAAAAAATCGTTATAGACGATATCGCCTCACGGAGGATCCTGCAAATTATTATCGAAAAAGAAATCTGATAAATATGTATATTAATGTTAAACACACCTCCACGTAAAGTTCGCACTTTACTCCCCGATAAATGACGGGAAAGTGCGTACGTTCTGCCCTTGCGTACACGGAGAGAAAAATCTATGAATTTTTATATTGTCATTTCGATAAAAATTACTGTGCTGCTTTACAATCTAGTTGTAAACTGCAGGCCTGAGAAAAATTACTATGCCATACAGTAACATTTCTTCATCGGCCGAGCAAAACTTCGTCATCGGCCAAATAAAAATTCAGTCGTCGCAACAGTTACCATTGTTACATTCAACTTCAGCAAGAATCGGAAACATTCGACCTTCATTGCTAACCAATCATATTGGGTTAAAAAATGTTAGGAGAAAATGCTGTGTGGCACAGTAAAAATTAAAAGAGAGCACAATAAAAAATACCGATCTGGATAGGAATTTTTGAAGGATTTCTATCAATTTTTCTTTCAAACTCAAACAAAAAATGATAGACCTTCAAATTTTATAGTGCTGTTTAGTAAATTTTATGGAGCCACACATGATTAATTACGAAATGTATAAGAAAATTTGACATATTGATATTAATTTTTATTTGTGAATCAAAGAAGTTCTAGTATTCTAGCATTTTGCACCACGATTGTAGTGCTCGGCACAGTAATTTTTCTTGAACTTTTCTCTCCGTGTAGAAAGGTGGAGCCAAGGGCGGAAAGTCTTGACTTTCCTCCCGCTTTTCAGACAGCAAACCACGCAGGTTCTTTTGATGAAAACTTCCGCCCGTTCCTTTGATGAAAACTTTCCGCCTTTGATGCACGATAGACTAGGTCTCATTTTTTTTCTAGGGACAAATGGGGAATGCCATTATAAGAAACTGCGTATAGCTGTTGATGCTAAGAAATTTGTATGGAAATGAATAATGGATTTTCTGAAAATTGGAAAATAATAGGGGTAGTATACAGACACCATCCAAAAACCGCGTATTCCGATTTTTTAGGCTAGATTTAGTTACCCTAATACAAAGAATTGAGAACTGGAATATGACCAAGTGCAAAGCTTCCATTCAAAAGCAAAAAGGCGAAAAATTCCGGATCTTCGCAGGTAGCTCGATAAAAAAAACTGAATTCCGGAGGACAGAAAACGAGATACAGTTATGCTTGATGGCAGGCTCGTGTTTTTTCACCATTTTAAGGAGTTACGTGTGTTTTGAAATTAAAAAAAAATATATTTTTTAAATATTTTCTTACAATATTACGATATGTCTAGAAAATTTTCCCCAAGTTTCAAGGCAATCACAATGAAAGTGTAGAACATAGAACTTTTGGGAGAGACGTCAGTCAGGCTAGACCGGTCGGGCCAGTAGCAGCTATGTTGAGTGCAGCTGTCTCTGCATTGTGTGACAGTCCTTTTCACTAGTTTCTCACGGTTTTGAAAGATTTCGTTCGAACTACGTTAGATTTGTATCGTCTTTAGAACCACCATGATTCTTTGAGGTTATATTAGCTTTATTACAACTTTATGTAAGTTGAAAAAAAATGTACATTTTATGCCTACCTCAGTCTTTGATCGTGTTTTTCTCGAAACATCGTTTTCAAAGTCTGTGGCCACGATTTCTTAGATGCTAGTGAAGATAAACATAACAACAACTGATATCTTCGTATCATCGAAGTGCTGTCCGTCACATGTGTACAAAAATATGTTGTCTTTCCACCATAAGATCTATTGCACTGCTTTTATGTGGGATGATGGATAACTAGATTCTATCTGACGAAAATGGATTGAGATACACTAAGATTGCGAAATGAATTGAGAGATCATCGCCCAACTTTCAACTAACCATCAAATAGGTCCATGAGAGCATTCACTAGGAGTTACGGTTTTGATTGTTCTTGGTGAAGTTGTCAATAGATTGGAGTGGTGTTTTCTCTTAATTACCAATCAACTAGTAAAGTCAAGAATCACTCAAATTTGAAAAATAGATACTTGAAAAATATCAACTTCGTACAGCTTGGGTAGCGTGCGCGTATCACTTAGACATAAGAAAAATATCAGTGCGATGGAAAAAATTGAATGCACATGTCCAGCTGTGGCCCAGCAGGATGCACTTCAACGAATGATGAAGACATGGAATGGAACGCAAAAATTTGTGAAACATTCGTAAGGGATATCTTGCATTGTTTCAAAACCCATCAAACTATTCATAATATTCCCGAGCGACACTGCTGATAAATATATTGTATCAACTAATAACGAACTATTTGCATAACTTAGCCGGAGGCAATATGGATGGAACGCATTAACAGGCGAAGCAACTTTCTCATTAATGACCTCACTCTGCATTCCGCATTTGCATTGCCTGTAAAACCGCTTGTTGTTCCGATAACTGAGTTATCGAGTAATTGCGCTAATAACACACAAGGAAAATTATCGAAAATAAAATTGTTAATAATTGATGAGATTTTAATGGTAGGTTCTAAAGTATTCAGTTAGGTAGATATAGAATCAAGACATATCGTAATCGTGAATCAAACATTCAGTGGTGTATCCGTTCTCGTCGTCAGTGATTGAAATCAATTGCCGCCTGTCCAATACCCTTGCGTATAAAGTATCGAGAAGTAATCAAATAGCAGCCTTTACAGACTTGAACCCTCTGTAGAAAGTAAAAATGTCATTGAATTCATAGAGACTTTGAATAACCTGGAACTTAGCCAGATGTCAGAAGAAGATGGGCATTGTAATTAAATTTGTCAGTAAAATGCTTTTCTAGCTATATGACATACAGTTCTGAGCCGACCGAGGCCTGTAAGTAACACTCATCAGACAGAGGACCGAAACGGCCGAGGTTAGGTCTGGCCAAATGACAAAATAGTATATTGCTCATCTAGGAACGTAAAGTAGCACGCGGGTAAGGCTCCATTATTTTAATACGAAAGGTAAACCTTCCGTGATGAGAACATCACTTTTCTCCTCGCTAAGTCAGAATGCCATTCCGCGCAGTGGTGCACGAAAAGAGGAAAACAGGGCATTCGAACCCGCGTATGTATTACCGATCTGATACCGAGGCAAAGCCGAGGGTGGTAAACACGCGGGTTTGAATGTCCTGTGTCCCCTCCTCTGATCAGATTTGTCTTTCCGTTAACACTACAGAGAAAAGTTCGATTTTTCTTCCTAAATTAGGGAAGGAATGTGGGTTATGTCATCCCGATCCTAAAAAAAAAACAGAAATCTGACGGATAGCATAGACTACTTTCTTACCGTCATTTGGGGATGAAAATCGAACTGTCCCTGTAGGTATGACGGCGAATAACATATGTCACACGATTTGAAAAGCATTGTAGCAACATATTTAATCAGAATTCACACCGAGAGCATATACAATACTTTCCCAAAATGCGTTTCAGCCCTTGTAGCATAAATTACTGTTCCGAAAGATGTAGATAGGCCATCGAAGAAATTTGTAGAAAAATTGGTGAAGAGTGATCAGAATTCTAATGAGGTACCTGGGCAATTAGAGTTTAAATTAGACATAAAACATATGGTGACAAACCGCCTTGATGCTGGAGATGGCTTGTTAAATGGAGCCTGTGGAATGTTGAAGTTCATGACAATCCAAGAAAATACCAAATTCCCATGGGTTTGATGGGGCGACTTCCAACTTCTCAGAGTTGGACTACGACTGAGAATCCGTTGTCGGGACTAGATAAAATACCATAATAGCGATCTAAACCCGATGCCCATGGAAAGAGTTTCGTTTTAAGCTCATATGCGAAACACGCACCATTATCAAATGATCAGAAATGAATTCCCAACAATTCCGGCTGAAGCAATAATAATTGCTAAAAGTCGAGGACAAAAGCATGCTGAGGTATGTTTTGATGTCACCAAGTAAGAGAGAAGATCTCCCCAACATGTCCTAAGAACATTGGACTCAGGCTCCGATTATTATTATTATTATTATTATTATTATTATTATTATTATTATTATTATTATTATTATTATTGTTATTGTTATTGTTATTATTATTTGTCTGTCTTAATGCAAGCGATGTATCTATAAGACCGACCTGATACGCCTGTATAGTTATCGCCATATAACCAGTGCATCTTATTTTTTCTCTAAGCCTTGTAGTCCACAATATTTCACAGATATTACAATTTCATTTGTTGGAAATATCAATTCAAAATAATACGATTTTCAATGTTGAATGCTTCGAATTTTCTATCATATAAGTAAAAATAAATGGACTAAATTCCATGCCGGTTGCAAGGTCTTATTTTTGTGCATACAATATTTTTAATATATATTATCGACGTCTGGCAATATTCACATTTTGGATAATATTTAGCGACTCAGGTAATCATGGAATTTTTGTTAAGTTCAACTTCCAGGCGTGCAAACAGAAAAAATTTGACTCACGATTTACAACGATTGTGAACATCGGCGTAATAGTGCGAATCGTGACGAGTACTTTTTTGCATTAAATTTATCAGCAGATCGTGAAAAATAAGAAATGGCCAAAGAGGCTGACAGTATTACTCCGTAGTGAATTACACAGTATCAATTATAAAAAATTAGCAAATATTCTTTGAGCAATTATAATATAGTAATAATAATATCAATAGCACACTCTTTATAACCCTGTAAGATGAAATAACCAAACTTACTTGTAATCTCCTCAAATGACTTTTATCAATTTCCTCCACAACTTTCGTCATCTGGTCCTCAACTCTTCTCCTTTGTTCTTCCACCATTGTCGATAACTCGGTAATTCAAATTTATTCCGAAAACTGATTGCTGGATGGAGACGAGGAATAGAAATTGAAATGACAGGAAGGTTATGAGTCTAATAGCCACATGCCTCGATGTTTTCGTTCATAGATTATAGGGGAGATCAGTAGCGCTTACGGTAGAGGTTCAACAACGATCTTTCCTAGCGGCGGCAACGGAACTAACTCATTGGCCGTACCGAAGAGGATGGTGACTGGTAGTTGGCACCACATAATTGAAAATTCATTAGTTTTTTTATTTAGATCAATAGTAGGACCTTTGTACATCATTGTAATACCATTAAAAAATTTCGTAGACCCTTCATTATTTTTCAATTAATTAAACAAAATATTGATCAGAAATTAGCACCCCACCCCACTAATTTTTATTTGTAGACCGAATAATATTAACCAATGGAAAGCAAATCGTTTGTAGATAATAACTAAATTAGCATCATCCTTCTACACCTAATTGTTCATTAGATATTAATTAAAGTAAAAAATGGTCTGTAGTATTTACATCGGCGCATGCGCAGACACGTACCCTCGCACAGTTTGGCACTATGCACTTGGAAGCAATATCGTTCTTAATTAACTTTGCAAACTTTTTTCTTGGTAAATATTTAGGTAGTAAATTGGTAAAATTTAGGAGAACATGATTAGAATTTGGAACTAATTAGTTTTCGTTTAATTTTTTTTTCTTTTTTGTCAATAATAATGAGCAGAAGTTATTCTTAAAAAAATCAAAAATAATTGGAATCACAATCACTTTAAAATGCATCTTCTATATGGATAGTTTATAAAACAACCAAGTTGAAATTATCGAAAAATAATTGGTTAAAATTACAGAACGAAAATAGGAAATAGAAAATACAAGTGTTCCAATCCAAAATTAAATTGTCTTTCGTAATGGAAACTACCTTTGATTTAAATGAGTGTTACTAGAAGGGGTAACGAGTAACTGTGTAATCACCTTATCGGCGAGGCAATCTTATGCGTAAGGTAACTACCTTTGATTTTTTTTTGTTTTTTTTTTTCAAAAAAATTTCAAAGTTGGTGTTACACAATTAACTTTGTACCCTCATTGGCGATGCCCGTTCAAAAAACTCAATGAAAAGTCACTTATTGAAAGATAATCAACGATCGCACGTAATTAAAGAGAAATAAATGCAAAATCAAGCGAATGTCAAATCAGAATGAAATATCAATTTTTAAGACGTTCGAATATCTCATTTTTAGAATCTCCCTTACATTACACAGCTAACTTTTTTATAACTGAGTGAAATAAGACATCAAACATTCAGGTTGTTGAAATAGTCAACATTAAACGCCGAATATCTGCGTGAAAGTTCAAGACGGTTTATTTATACATTTTTATAAATAATGTTACATTTTGATACACTTTTGCTTGTCCCTACATCTATTCTTTCCTAATTACATGAGAGTATAGCTAGTTATCTTCATCAATTAATCGAATGATGAATTCTAATTCATTTAAATTTTCTTAACGAATGTCGATAATGAAGAAAAGTATCGCCACATCGATCCATTGGAGTCCACGCATGCGCAGATGGACACATTGTCATTGATATCATTAATGAATTAGTATTTAAAGAACAATTAGGTCTAGAATGATAATTCAAGGATTATTTTTTACCTACAAACGATTTGCTAACGATTGGCAAGGTCAACTTGGTTCTACAACTGAAAATTAGGAAAGTCCGATGGTAACTTTTGCATATTATTTTCATTAATTAATAAAAAATCAAAGAAAGGCCTACAAACATTTTAATCACTATTACAATGTCATACAAATGGTCTTTTTTCATACTAATAAAAATGTAATGAATAATTACGTGTAAAAGAATGAAACCAAGGTATTTATTATCTACAAACGATTTGTTCCCCATTGGTTAATATTATTTCGGTCTACAAATAAAAATTAGTGGGGTGGGGTTCTAACTTCCGATCATTATTTTGTTTAATTAATTAAAAAATAATGAAGGGTCTACAAAATTTTTTAATTGTATTACAATGATGTACAAACGTCCCTATTATTGATCTAAATAAAAAAACTAATGAATTTTCAATTATGTGGTGCCAACTACCGGTCACCGAAGAGGATTGACTAAAGTACAGGCTCAGTTCTGGGGGTTGAGTGACCCCAGCGGAATCGTAGTACCTCACCCCAAGAGAAAGAGGGCGCCATACGCAATGCTGGAGTGTTAGCCGACTTGATAACTGCCTCAGTATAAGGGCAGGGTTGCCAGATTAGGCTATTTATCGCCGATTGGGCTACTTGAACATTCAGTTTGGCGGTTCAAAATGGAAATTGAAACCTGTAGCTCAGATGGGCTATTTTCAATTTCTAGCGTGCGATATTGAGCCTTTTTGAAAATAAAAGGCGTTTTTGGGCTGTTTTTAATTTATATCTACTATATTGGGCTACAATCACTTGGAATTTTGTTAATTATTGTTTTTATCTACTTTGATAGCCTATGAATTTATCGGTAAAAAAGTCTAATGAGTTACTGGCCCATGTTTATTTTTGAAATCACGCTAAGAGGCGCACTGATCGTATAAATTATTTAGGTATGATACAGGCAGGTATTGTCAAGCCAAAAACAGGGGACAAATTTTCTCAGGCGGCACGAGACAGCGCGGCGGTCAGTATCACCTTCCCCTCAACACCATGTCATCCCCACTCTGCAGCTGTTCGGCACTGGTGGGACTATTTAAAAAATGATAATTTAAAATAGCAGGAAAGAATGTAAAATATATTTTTAAAAATTTCAACTTCTCGGGTAAAAAAAAATTGTAATCGGAATATTTTTTCAAATTTTCGAAAAATTTCTGGTAAACTTTTCAGAAAATTGTTCTTTTGAAACAAAAAAAAATCGGGAAACAAAACAACTGTATTTTTGGGAAATATTTTGAAAAAATTTCAAAAATTTGTTTCGGAAATTTTTTAAAGGAATTTTCTGAAAATTTTGGCGAATATCATTTTTTTTCTTTTAATTATACAGTTGTCTTCTTACTTTTTCTATTTTTCAATAGTCTCAAAAAATACGCGATCTAAATTATAAAAAAAATTTTTCCCATCCAAATTTAAAAAAAATTTTACAACAAACGATCTATCTCCATTGAACGCAACTCCACAGCACCCCAAAATTGACATTTCAAATATTTTTTGAAAATTTTTTCAGAAAAATCCATTTTCTTTTCGGCGAAAAATGAAATTCTCTTTTTTTCTTAGTGATAGAGAGGTGGGAATTTTTACTATTGGGAAATTGCACCTTTTTTTTAGGTCAATTTGAAAGAAAAAAAAATCAAACGACTCGACTGGGATTCGAATGTAATGCCAGAAATCGCACCCCCGGGTACTTACCCGACAAAAGTCAGTAATTCGAAAAACGCAATTATGTACTCGATTGTACATCGTTAGTACATGATTGTACCTATAAAATTTTTGTTTGTACATCAACGGATTAATTAAAAAAAATTAATTAAATTTCGGCATGATCTTAGCCGACAACAAATTAAAAATTGATCAATAAAACCAAATTAGGGGTGTTTTCCGAAGGAAATCGTTTGTACATTACGAATTTCATGTTTTCGTCGTTTGTACATTGATTGTTAATGAGTTAAATCCATTTGAAAAAT